TACCGAAAAAAACCTTCTGAGCAATAGACGCTATCCACAAATGGAACCTCTTATTATACTATTACTACTACTAAACCGTAAATCAATAATTTGCCCAGCATATAAACAGCTTTACTTTATGTTGCGAAAAAATGGTTTTTTTCTTAAATTAGTGAAGCAATAAAATTACTGTGTAATGAAATGTAAAATGAAAACTTTTTGAATCAACATTTCAGATGTCTAATTTCTTTTTGTAGAAAACACATTGTTATTCCATTCTTATAGTTACGTTTCCTGGTAATAACCACTTTCAATTTTAGTGCACTCTACTAAATTGCACAGTGCTCAAAACAATCGTTTAAAAAACTGCATAATGATTTACGAGAAGGTATCTTTGTTCATTTATGTCACTTAGATGCGTACTAGTCTTTTCTCATCTGTTTGCAAAATATCCTTCAAAACTCTTTTGATTCGGAAAAATCAATAAATGACCGACTGTTTTCTGTATCTAAATGATTAGTCGTTGCCCACTTATAAAAGTGCTTTCAAACAAGTATTACAGGTGTGAAGAGTGAACATTTATGATTCTTTTTGTGGATAAACGCAGCATCTTCAAGTTTCTTTAAAGAGGTATTAAAATCCAATTGTAATCCACCGACACAAAGATCAACACCTTAATCTGATTTTGTTTTACCTCACGAAGATACTTTGATTCAAAGTTACTTTTTTATTTTCTTTCGGATAAGTTGATTTCTTATAATGATATAGACATATTGTCTTGTGTGTATACTTGTATACGCATGTCAGATATAAAGTACATAGTGGGAGAAATTTGAGAGCAAACCTACAAGTTATGAATAAAAAAAATATTCATCTTTTTTGTGGCATCATAAATCAGTACTTTCTCGTCTGACAAAGGAACCATAAAATTAGAGACATTAGGTGGCATTTAAATGTTGATACAGAAGTGTTTGAAAGTTGTGGTAGCTCTACACACAGTTGTGATAATATGCTTGCAATTATATAGTCTGTTACAATTTTTGGTATACTTCATTGGAGACGTTGGAATAAAGAATTTGTTAGATGTTTTTACACACTGATTTATAAGTTTATGGATAAGGCAGTTTGTCGGTAACAGAGATTTTAATGATAAACAAGTCAAAACCATAAGTACATCGGTTAAGGGTCAGCTGTTAAACATATTTTAGGGATCCATTTGTGATAATGGAGAGTGTGTCACTGGTTTTCCATCAATAATGGTTTTAAGAGTGTCGTTAAATTACAGTTAAAACATAAATATTCAGTCCTCTTACCGAAGATTTTAGTGGTCTGACTTACCTATACAGTCAAGTACTGTCAAGGACAATCCGTACGACACTTAAATCCAGGAAATGATAATTCACAGACTTCTAAAACAACTTTAGCCTATCTACTTCCAAATCAGTCAGTGTGAAGCATTTATTAATGCTAACCTAATCGTCGGTGGCATAGCAGTTAGGACGCTCGCCGACCATGCACATGGTCCGGGGTTCGATTCCCGGCCGACGCACACCTTTACCCCAGACAAAAATAATGCTGGTAGAGAGAAAAGTTTGAGCATGAGGCTAGCAACCTCATCCTGTAAAATTAAATACTTCTACAGAACCTTCAAGCCACTAGCTTGAAGCTCTATGTTCCACTGGGGAACGTGAAGGAGGAAAAAAATCCCCCCATCCTTGATTACTTGATACAAAAGACAAGGGAAGATCTCTATCATCCTAATGAATTACTGAATAATTTGTGATATAAATATTTGGTTGCATGGAGGATTTCATCATGAGCTGATATCAGCAATCAAACAAAATCCCTACAAAACCAATACTTGAAAATATAAATATTTCATATAATTATATATTATTCTATGAATTAACTTAAGTTCACAAAAGCATGTCCCACATCCTGTACGTCGGTGACACAGAGGGAGAATGCTTGCCGTCCAAGCAGGTGGTCAGGGGTTCTATCACCGGCTGACACACTCCTTTACCTCGATAAGCCAGGAATAAGATGCGTTAAGATGGAAGGTTGAGCATGAAGCTAGCAACCCCATACCGTAAAAAGAAAAACTAATGTTTCCGAAACTTCAAGCTTTTAGTTTGAAGCCCTATGTTTCATTGGGAACGTACAGGGATTTAAAATATGTCCTACATCACGAGTAAACTTCACAGACTTTATTATTATAGTATATAATTTTATTATGAAAAGGTTTGCAGCACTTTAGATGAACTGCATGCAGAGTTAAATGTCTACTGGGTAACGTTAAATGAAGAAGTAACTTCAACTAACTATTCTGGAAACATTAGTTAATTGTTGGGTTTTACTATTTTAGATATCTGTGCATTCATAGTGGTCTGTACGTTACGTTCACTTTTTTTCATTATCTCGTAATCAGTATATGATTTATCTATTTAGGAGAAGCTAGAAATTGATCTAACTCATTTAAGGTCATTAAATTTTATCGAAATTCCATACTCATATATATGAAGGTGAACAATGGGAAACGAAATCATAAGAAATAGATATGAAAGTATAAACGGAAATAAATTCATTCATGAAATTACTTTTCCCTAATGCAATGAATAAAATAGAACTAAACGTCAGTGGCTGATAAAGAAAAGCATGTGAGAAATACTGAAGAAAAACAGGTCTTTAATCTCAGAATAAAGACTATTGATAACAGAAAATATGGCTCAAAAATCACATTTCCCGAATCTTTATAATTTGTTGTTTTCCTACATGAATTTACATGAGTTATTAAAATCTAAAACTACTGAAGATAAAATTAACAATTGCTGATATATATTTATATATATAAGCAAGGATCGGGAAAGCAAGGCAAGTCTGTGTGGAGGTCAACAGCACTCAGAATGAAAAATAAGATGCAATTTTTCAATTCCAATACGAAGTCAGTGCTACTAAACTGATCAGAGACTCAGTGAGTCAGGAAGAGCACTTGTAACAAGCTAAAACTTTCATCAACAGCTGTCTTTGCTCAATACTCAAGATCAGATGGCCAGAAAATATCAGCAACAGGGATTTCAGGGAGCAAACCAACCTAGCAGGAACCAATTGTACAACAAACACACAGGAATCAATGTAGGTGGATTAGCCATACTTTGAGAAACCCATCTAATGACATCACACGCCGGATTGTGGAGTGGAACACGAATGAGAAGTGGCGAGTTGATCGTCAGTGCGAGGATGATATGGAGGAGGCCATGTAAAGAGGAGATGAAAGCATGAGAGCAGACGTGGAGCCCGGTGAAAACATTGGCAGAGAACCGGACGCAATGGATACGTTCCTTTATGAACTAAAGGAGACAGTAATAATAACGCACACTAAGGAATCAGTCAAATTTCATCCATCCCGCCTATAAGCTCAAATTTTCATAGACAGAATAGGATTTGACCGTTTTACTAAATTCTTTATATGTGTAATGCATATAATAACTGTTCACAGACTTACTCTGTTTTTCTAATTTTTCAAAGTGTGCCTAGGCATATACTTGAGGAATATCTATTTATATGAATATTCCTGTGACACTAGGTTTCGTTCCGATTCCAGTCTGTAAGTAGTCAAACTAAGACCAGCCTGTCAAAGCGAACAAGTAGTAGACGGCCTCTTCAAAGAATGAAAGTATTCTTAAATTTAGCGGAATGGGTGTGACTTGGCTTTACCAATTATTCTCACTTCATTTTCTCTCAACTAATAGAAATAAGCCTATAGTTTGACTTTGTTTTAGATATATAAATCATTAAAAAGAAAGTTGGATAGATAGAAGCTGGAATCCACTAGCCATCGCATTGCAGTTCAATTGGAAGAATTGTCAAAGATCCTAACCTCGTAATCCGAAGGCCCTAGGTTTGATTCCGGACATGCTTTTGGCTGCTTGCTGATGGTTAATCTCCAACTGGGGCAAAACAGCTGTCCAGTACTTACCGGTTTTCAGTGGTTCTCTAACTCACATCAGTCCATGATCGAACCTGAAACAAGGCTGAAAATAAGTACTTTGCAACAAAATTTTGAATGGATACTGTTAAGGTCTGTTAGATTAGTCACAGAGAGAAAACTGCTTCAGTTTTGAGTATTAATTACCTTCATAGTTTACATTAGGCTGTTCACAATATTTTCCTAGATGATGAAAAAAATTCTAGCGATTTTGTATTGTATGACAATCAGTAAATTATAAACACGTCTATTACATAACTAATGAAGTATACATAAGCTATTACAGGGTTATTTCGTTTGCTTTTCACGACATTTTCGCAAGACAAGCACATTTTATTATGAAATATACAGAGTATAATTTCTATGGTTGTTAGTATTGTGCACCGTTTGACTGTAAACAGGTAACTGTACTGAAACGAAGTAATTATGATTGCATAGACCTAAACATAATTACTTTACACTGGCCAATATAAAAATTAAATTATGACATTGCATATCTGACGTTATATTTAGACGAAATGGTAGAAATTAACTTAAAATGTTTTTAGAAATATATTCCATAAATTCATATTACATGTTTTTTAAAATCTAATTAATGAATATTTAAGGACATTTAATAAATGATTGTCTATAAGAAAAAGTACATCTTGGCGTTGGAGTCACTTAGTTTACTTGATATCATGCATTTGTATAATCGTCCCATTTGAAAGGAAAAAAGACTAGATGACTAAGCATGAAACAGGTGGCGTATAATGGCACGGTATTCATATTCAATGTTTTACCCCTCTAACCTCTGAACAAGCGAATTTCTAGATCAGTCTATGTCTTATAGACAAAGGATGTTATAATGTGCCTTGTTGACTGAATTAGCAGTAAACGCTTTTTATAATTAAACCAGTTTAATTTTATTTTTTCAATTAAGATGAGGTCTTCCTTAAAATAAGTTGGTGTGTGGTTATCCTTAATTTTTACGAAAACAAGCAGTTGAAAAAGATTTACAAACTACGGTTGTATATACTAAGAAGTTTTTACTTACTTTGCGGGATTTACAAACTCCGAGCAGTGGAAGTATTTCATGTTTTGAATGTGTTTCAAATGTTTGTGAATTATCCGCACTGATACATTCATTGCACACTGGTATATGACAGTTAACACAATAAAGATTTGGTATTAAATTTAAATGTGACATGCATGGTGTAGGTTGATTACGCTGTTTTTGTCTGATTATTTCCACACCTTGTGTCGCTGAATGTAATGCATGACGATTCAGTGGTCCACGTGGTGGATGACACTTTTCACGACATCGTGTACAATAGAAAATTTCACATTGTTCACACCAAAATGTGGCTAGACAATTTTGTTCACTTGCCTCTAATTTATTGCCATCTGAGGCTGTTTGGTTTTCTGATGGGATACTAGGTTCTTCACAGAGTTGGCAAAGTGGTCCACCTGGTCGACTGATTGGATCTGAATTGGAATTTAACAGAAAAGGTTCTAAATCTGCATTGGACTTATGAGACTGCTGCAATTGACTCGGATTGACAAATTTTGATATAATTCGTTCTAGTGCACGATTTCTTGGAAGATGACTTAATCCTTTATCATCAAATAGACCAACTACGTGATTACATACTGGACATATCAAACCACTTGACACCTGACTTATTGAAGACGAAGAAACACTATAGCTCTGACTAGGATTCAAACCTGAGGTTAATGAACATATTACAACTGGTAATCTTGCTACATAACTACCTGGTCGACTGCTAACAATAACTCCAGAATCTGTTTCACTTAGAACACTAACTTGATCAGAATCTGAATGAATCAATGAAGTACAACCCAAACTTTGTGTGTTACCTTGAGAATTTGATGTACTCGGGCAACCAATGCTGCTTCCAGTTGTAGATGAAGATGAAGATGACGACTGGGGAGGACCACTACTAGAACTAAAGTTTTCATTAGTCGTTAGGTGTAATGCAGCCGTAATGGAAGCTGCAATACTCGGTTCATTAGCAGGTAGCAATGCCCCAGCTGCACACTGATTACAAAGAGAATGTCCGCAAGGTAACAGTAAAGGACACTGAAAAAATCGTCTGCATGATGGACACCGTAATTCAGATTCCATTTTGTGCACTGCTGTGAGCGTAGCTGATATTGTTGGTTGACTAGATGAAGCATTTGCGCTACCAGTACTTCCACCGCTGGATGCACTTATAAGACTTGTGGCTGACAAGCCTAACACAGGCTTCAAAGAGGTTTGCATTGAAATTTTTATTAGCTTGTGACAATATAATTAGAATTTTTTTAATAAATGAATTCACGCGAAGCTGCTAATAAACGCCATTTCCATGTGTTGTCTGAGAATAGTAGAATGTGTTACTTCTAATTTGTTTACTCATAAAATAGCAATATCCTTTAGGTTGTGTCGGTCTGATGAAAATTTCGACGACTTTTATTTAGAAATAATAACATTATAGTCCATGCAAGGCTTTCGAGCACATTTGATTATCTGTTGTCTTTATATCTATAAATCTATCTTGTAATATATGTAAGGATATATATATATTCTCTAAAACTTGCTTATTTGGCAAAGCACTTCATATTGCAAAATAATTAAAAATGTAGACATGTAAGAGAAACTAGAGGGAAAAAGAAATCAAAATGAATTATTCTGATTGGCTGAAGGGAGTGAGTGATGACTTTTCACTATTTTCATTTCTATTCTTACTTACTGACCTGATTGAAGAATGTACAGGTTAGTGAGTTTTTAGGTGAATTTATATTTTAATATAAGTAATAACAAATTTAAAAAAATATCTTGGCTATTCAGAAAAAGAAAAGTTCGGTATACAATAAATCAATCAGGTGATCTAAAAGAAGTCAACTAGTCGGTGAACACGACGACTTTATTATGGTTATATGCATTTCGCTAACTTGCTTTATGGCTTAATGTTTCGGTAGACAGAAGCAGTTCATAATAAAGTACTTCTGCTTTCTTGATTGATATATATCTTTAGCAATTTGATTAAACATGTTTTATATACAAGACACTTAGGGGATACATTTATCTGCCTATATTTTGTAATCACCATATAAGCGCGAAAACAGAAATGCGTGGGACAGATAAGAAGACACTATGGAATCTGGACTTTGTGGATGATTTATGTCTCATGTTACACAAACTCGAAGGTCAGCAGGCGGAAATTTACAAGCTTACATAGGAAGTAGATTGCAAGGACAGAATTTCAGGTGTCCATAGAGAAGACAGATTCAGATTTTCAACATTAATGTTAACTAAGTGTTTCTGTATGGTTCAGAGATTTCGCTCCACCGTCATCAAAAGCATTTCCAACGGACTGCAGACTTTTATCAACAGCTCAATTCTCTCCAGAATGAAGATCGGACGGCAATTTAGGATAAACATGAAGAAACTGTAGCACTTAGGAAAAACCAACCAAGAACTTGCTGTTCAACAAATACGTTGGAGAAAATGGAGGAGACTAATTATCAACATTGCGCTCTAGGCCTTCGAGTGGAACTCAAATGGAAACGATGAGTTGTGCTTGGGTCCAAGGGTAATGTGCAGACGGTCCTGTGTGTGTGAGGAGAGTTCTGGGCAATCATGAAACAGCTAAAGGGTACTGTAGAGGGTAGTATGAAATAGAGATGTATTGTTGAACATATCAGAAACTTGGCGGGTGAGTCACAAAGAATATTTCCAACAGCCGATTGCAGACCTTTATTAACAACTGTCTTCGCTCTTTAGTGAGGATCAGATGGCCGGGCCGGAAACAATCACCAACAAGAAACTATGGCTGGAAACAAACAAAACAAGAACCAATAGCCCAACAAATATGTAGGAGAAAGTGGAGATGGATCGGATACTCGCTGAGGAAACCGCTGGGTGACTTCGCGCACGCGTCAGGCCATTGCTCAAGTGGAGTCAGGCCGAAAGGGAAGCGGCGAGTAAGACGTCGGTGCTAGGGTGACATGGAGGAGATCGTGCGAAGTGGAGTTGAAACAGGATGAATTAACATGGATGCAGGCGAAAAGCATAGCAGAAGACAGAAGCAAGTGGAGACGTGCAGCTGAAGCCGTATATTCCACTGGGGACCCAAGGGAACAATAATAATCATTGTTGAACCCTTACGTTACACTTGAAACCCTAAGAAGTAATAATACTAGAATAATAGAATTACTCTGAAGTGTGTTTACAAATATAAAAACAGTTTCATCATCAATACATTAAACATGCTGAATGACACGCTTTTGTAAGTTTTTTGAGCATAATACAAAATATTTGTAACTAAAGAGAAGTAAGTATTTCAAGAGCTTAATTTCTGCACATTTCATAAAAATGAGGCATTTCACTGGCACACCCGAATCCTTCAAAATTTTTAAATGGACAGAAGACTACGAAGTGCAGAGGCGATTGTAATAAAACGCTTTCCTCTTTCCATATGCAACCAGAAAGATATTGTGAAAAAACTCACATTTCTTTTGTAAAAAGACTGATTTTGGTTCACTGAAAAGATTTAAAATTCACAAATTGTAATTTTTCTCAGGCTGTCATTTAACTTTATTAGCTAGTAATGATTATCACGTGTTTATCACGTCTTATAAAAATATCGAAATAATATCAACTTCCTCGCTGAGGTATCACCATCAGTAAAGATTTTTCATAATTTAAGGAAGTTCTATTGAACAGTTTAGATGAATTACATGTTACGACAGGATGATAAGTTATTCCTAATAAATTGTCGCGGGAAAGGGTCCTTTCAGTACAAATACTCAACCAAATAACTAAGTTAGTTGCTGGAAAACAGTCGGCAGTAAGACACTGGGTGAATTAATTGCAAAACATCACTAAGATCAGGTAATTCTAAAACTGCTGACTCTCAAAATGCTACTTTGTTAAAAGGATTACCTCGAGATTAGTAGTAAGAAGAAACCATTTCACAAATGCTAAACCCCACTGTAGAACTCTACGATGCTAAAACAAGTCGGAGAATTTTCAAGGCATCAGTTACACTATAACTGTTACTGAATATTTAAGCTAAAGGTAAATCATTTGCAAAGGAAGAATTTGGCTCCCTTTTGTGGTTGTAGTAATTTCGTTTTAGTATTTTCTTAAACTGACTATATAGATGTAATCTACTCTGGTACTAACTAGAGATTTATCACAGGACGAAGTTGCCTGCAGTTCTGATTTGGAGTTATGACCAATGAACTCCACCAGGTCAGATGTGGGGACCAATTCTCCACGATGATATTGACTGTTGGTGGCGCTATAAGTCGTAAACTGACAGAGGTTAGAATTTACGGGAAATCGGATTCCGTCCTGGTGACTGAGTGGTCAACGAGCTCATCTCGTAATCTGAAAGTTCTGGATTTGATCCCTGATGAAATCATAGGTGCTTACCTTTGAAGAGTCCCACAATATGACAAAACAGCTGTCCAGTACATCCTAATTCTCAGTGGCTCTCTAACTAATGATAATTCAGAATGTAGCTCAAAACAAATGAAATCTCTGCAAACTATTACTTGAAAATCTAATCTACTCTAATCCGCTTATTGTTTTCCCTATACAAACCATTCTCTTAACTTTTTGTCTAAATTAATGTCTATTTCTTCTCAGAACAATAGTTCCACGTAATCGCTGATTATCATTTTTATTTCTGCAAAACAATTATTTTTATTTTAAAGTAATTATCTCATTTACCATACAAGTGAGTAAAAAAAACTACCTTCGTTGTTTAACCATTTTTATCAGTCACGCTACGTTACTTTAATCTCTATGAGTGGCAATTTTCTTTTTCACTCATAGAGATAAATATACAGACACTTCACTACTCAGATTGTTGGTCCTAAAAACCGGACTAGTTGGATTATTTTCCACATGGATAAAATTCTTCTAGCCTATTGACCATATCGTATTTATGAATCATGAGTTTCAATCAGCATTTATGACAATCGCTGTAATTGTATCATGTAAATATAATGAAGCAGCCCAGTGTTTCAGACAGGGTGTGAAGAGTGAAACAAGCATATTAGCTTCATTTAAATTGTAGAGGATCCTTGACACAGCATAGAAACAGTCATAATTTAAATTCGTTGTCCCCCATAGATGAACACATAGGTTCCAATACTTTTGATGGACATCATAGTAAAACAAAAGTACTTATACAGCATATTTTGCGCTTCACTACTCACTGAAGCAAAGCATAATATCGACAAAAACTAATCAAGTACTTGTTATTTTATTTTACAGCAAAATGCAATATGATTTCAACCTGCTTAATTCCTATTTTAAGTGCAACCTTTATAATACGCTTAAAAACAGATAAGCCAACAATGAGATCTGTTTCGTTGCTTCTCTTTAAAGCCAGGCAGTCTCTTGGGTGATTATATATACAGTGTGTGTTGACAACAAAGATGAGGGGTTCCTGTCAGTTGGTAACAAAAGCAGTCAAAGTGTATTAGAAAGAGTGAATAACCTTACGCATTTGAGAGAGTTAAGATCTAGTTAGTTAAGTGACTAATTTTTTTTCCTTCACGTTCCCCAGTGGAATATAGGGCCTCAAGCTAGTGGCTTGAAATTTCTGTAGCAGTGTTTATTTTACAGTACGGGGTTGCTAGCGTCGTGCTCAACCTTTCCTCTTTACCAGCATTATTTCTTGTTTAGCGAAGTAAAGGAGTTCGTCGGCCGTGGATCGAACCACGAACCATGTACATGGTCGGCGAGCGTCCTAACCGCTATGCCACCGACGCACTAAGTGATGAATAGTCATTTAATAATAACTGACAGGAAACAAGAGAATAAAGATTTCAAGTATTGGTTTGTAGGGATTTGATTGACTGGTTCTCTAACCATAGTCAGCTCATGATTCAGTCTTGTAACCATGAGATTAAAGAGTTGAAATGGGTTACAAAACAGATGAAAAATTAAAGGATTGCAGTGTTTATTTTGCAAAAAGCCATGAAAATGAAATTGAGACTAGGGTTAGAGTGATAAAGAAGGCTTGGTAAAACTTTTCTGAAGACAAAGTCCCGTTTTTCTGCATAGATTGCCAGAGATTCAGCAGCATGAAGAAAATGCAAGCGAAATCCTTTTTTGAATGGCTTGATATTATTTTATATATGACTGTACACGAAGTTTCTGTTGACGCTGTGTTGAGAAGTAATAATGTCCACCGGAACTGATCTACTAAATGTTATAAATTTAAAGTAATTAGAATTTCTCACAACAAAATATTGTAGTGTCTTTAAAAATGCTTATATACTTCTGTAGGACTGGAGTAAATTTATAAAAAAAATATAGAATTTATAATGATAAGAATATTTCAATCCATAGACATGGCTATTTATGCGATTTTAGTTTATCTCAGTCGAAAGTGCATCTGTTAGATAGTAGGCTTCGCATTTTAAGGCACATCATGGTTAAACAACTCATTTATCTGTTTCCCTTAAGAAATGAAAATAAAAGAGACCCTAAAATAGGACAAAGAAGCTTTCCAGTTCCCTCTGATTCTCAACAGTTCTCTACCTTATGCCAATCCGTGATTCAACTTGAAATACATCAAATTCCTTCTAACCAACACT